GTCCCCTAGTAGCGTAGCCAATCAAAATGCAGGATTTGCATTAGTCCACTAGTTGGGTGATACTAATTTCCGTGATGTAGTGTCTCCAAATCCAATAGCCTGCGAGCAGGCTCTCATCGTTGGTGGCGCGAGCAAAGCTGTCGGCGAACGAAGCCAGCTCGTTTCGCTCGCTGACGCATCTCTCGCGACTTATCGACTTTGGTCCTGCCGCAACGTACGAGAGCCTGTTCGTAGGCTACCAATCCAAAGACCTCAGCTTTATAGACCTCCGCTAGTTTGTCCTGGAACAGCAAAAAAGTCAAAATACCTTTGTAGATCTAAGATTGTAAGTTCATCGCTCCAGGAACGGAGAAGAGAGAGGTGTCTCCGACTGTTTCTTTTTTTTCCTTGACCAAATTAATGTCTACCGAAATAAAGGATCATGCATGCACGTGTCTGTTTCACGCGTCTCTTGACGTCCCCAGGGGCCGCAATGCTCTTCGATTCACCTTACCGCGTGAAGGGGGCGGAGGGGGAACTGACACCGAACAGAATGGCAGTAACCTGCAATCTTCACGGCGATGGGATGAGAGGAAAAATAATCATAATAAAATGATAACTACTTTTCCTCTCTCCCACCGAAAAATCTGAACACCCGATCGCAGATGAAAATGAGAGCTGACAGCAACTCAAGAAAACAAAGGACAAAATGGATTTTCATTTCAAACCCTGCAAATTCCAAATTCTAGCCTGTTCCAGGCTCTCGGTAGCTGGCGACGAGCGCAAAAAAGAGGGCGAGCGAGATAAAAAACGTGGGAGAACTAAGGCGTTGAACTGCCATTCCTCGCCATCCAAATTCAAACCGAAGATTATACGCTCGTTTATGTTCGAGATCTTATACCATCATGGAAAGAGAAATTCTAGGTTTCGGAGGATCAGCTCATGACGTTTCAGATTCTTTAGCTCTCTTTCTTCGCCTTTTTCGGCTCAAAATGCTGTCCTTACCGTAAACTGCGGCTTTCAAGTTAAGCCCTGGCCATACACAACTTCGCAAGGGCTTTTAGATGGGCTTATAAATGGAGGGGCTTATTTATCCGAGGGGGCTCAAAACCGGAATATAAAAAACCGTTTCGAAACGAGTTATAGCTGTTTTCTAAACAATTTTTTCATTTACTGTAATAAAACGTCGCCAAAACAAGGAAAGCTAGAGAGGGGCTCATGTCCGGGGGGGGNAAATGGGCCTATATTGCAGGGGGAGGCATATACGCGGCAGTTTGCGGTACATGTATTACAAAACAGCCATCACAAGCCCCCTTTATAGCCCGCGATAGATCAAGTGTTGTTTAATTTTGTCGTAGCTTCTGTACAGCCGCCTGTAGTGCTGTCCTCGCGGCGGTGTTTCTTATTTTCCCTGGGCGCCGTGATCCACATGACACTGCGTGCTTCGAGTCGGCACGTTTCCTTGCTAGTTTGCGGGCGATGAGTCGATTCTACTGTATTTCTTTTCCTAGTAGTAACTATATGATTATTCCCATACAAAACGCAATGTCACGTCATGTTCACGGCTCGCAACATGCACATTTAACCCATTGTTAGAACCTTTCCTTGTTGGGGTGATGTATATGGAATTTGCTAAGTAATTACCAAGGGAAGACGGCTTTACCAAACAAAGTGCAGCTACAGTAATTAGAATCTGACCTGTGTTTGTGAATGATAAATAGGCATGTAATATATCAAACACGAGAGACAGTGTTTCATCGGGATATCCAAACACCGAGAAGAGAGTTGAAAATACGACGCGCAGAGTGTTTGGATAGCCGATGAAACACTGTCTCGAGTGTTTGATATATCTTCTCAATCGAAACAAAAACTAAGGAGTAAACGAAGGAGTAAAATCGTCAAAATCTATGCTAATTAAGACCAGGTATCCAAACCTCTTTCACGTTGTGATTTTCTTTGTTTTAACTTGATGAATTATTAATGAGTTTGAGAGTGTTCCATCGCGTTATTGTATTTATTTGCACACCTGCCCACCTTTTGTTATGAATTCTACGAGAAAAGTGAACTCCTAAACCGTTTTAAATACTTTTTGAAAATTTCCATCCTAACAGATACCTCTACAAAACATAGACATCAATCTTCGACGCTTTAAGCTCGTATCCAGACGCCTGTTTAAAAAAATGGGCACGCGCTTGAGGCTTCGCGCTCGTTCTCTATGTTCACAGCAAATGTGTGAAGAGCCTGCTAGAGGAGGCTGCTTTATTTCCCATTTGAACCATGTCCATCCAGGTTTGCCGTCAAGATCACTCCCTTTAGATTCGTCAAGATGCGCCGAACTTAATAACTCAAGACAGCTCGCGCAGAACAAAATAAGATAAAATAAAATGTTATTGCGGCAGATGCTAATGGTTTCAACCACTGGTCGATCCATTTTCCGATTGCATGTTCTTACAATGACCTTATCCGCTTATCTGGTCAAAGACCCACACATATCTCCGATGAGGAAAAACGCATCGAACTGAACATAAGAGCACATTAATGTCGCCTTCATAAGCTGCTAATTCATTAGTCGCTACTTGGAGAAAATACAAAGTAGGTTTAAGGACAAAATACAGCAAGTTAACAAAAGATGATCCTAAGGAGCCTTTAACACTAAAAAAGGTCTAAAAAAGTTTGTTTCCAAGCTTTCCTGCCATACTTAGATCCCCAGACTAAAATAACGTTTCATTTAAACTTCCACTAGTCCCCCATAGTATGCTGTAATTGTCTTCAGCTTTTTGTTAAGAAAGTTCTGTTCAATTTCCACATTTCCATTTGGTGAAGCAAGGAGAGATAACTGCTCAACATCTGCATTGCGAGGCATAAAATAAGTAATGTTCTCTGTTATGGATTTAGTTTCTTCAAAAACGTGAACGCCATCCAATGTTATCATGGTTTTGATATCGAACACTTCTGCACTGACATAGTCTGGTCCACCCCATGGTGGACTCAGAAACACAACATCAGCCTTCAAGTGTGGAATTAACTTCATGTAGTCTCCAACAATGAATTCGATGCGATCTTCAACTCCATAAACAGTTGCGTTGTGGTGCGCAAGAGTGATTTTAACCGGGTCAATATCAATTGCTATCACACGTTCGCATGTAAAAGCAAACTGAATCGCGTTTCCACCAACGCCACAGAAAGCATCAATGATTAAATCACAACGGCACCTTTCCGCGATATGCTTTGCTATGCGCTCGGGTGTCACGGAGAACCATCCTTCTTTGTCCATTTTGATACCGTCGTCAAATCGAGAAAATAGGCGGTACCTCTGAGCCCAGTACTTAGCAATGTCAGGGTCTTGCTGGGGATGTGTGATGGCCTCCTGTTTCAATGCGACTGTCTGGTGACCATTTGGGAAATACCGGGCAAAATTCTGGTTTTCTGATGCTTCATATCTCTGAGTTTGAACCAACGCGTTTTCAACAGATTCTGAGTAAGTCTTACTATTTGGCTTTGATTCACTGCACGCCCTTGCGTCAGTCATGAATTCCTTGACCTTTCTGAGTGTACACGGCTCTTGTGATTCATCCACTGATTCTTCCTGAACGAAATGCCTTGTTGAATTTAAACCTTCCTGAGTTGAAGTTTGTATTCCATCTTCTTGTGTTTCTTCGTCATCCTGAAATCTAAGATGTACTCCTTTCGACCCGGACACTTTAGGTATCTGGTGCATATCGAGGTACTTGTTCTTGGAATCAAGCTCTCCTAAGCAGAGTTCTACCTTTCCACCACAGAACCTGGGTTGGTCTGAATAGCTGGAGTCTTCAACTGGTGATTTGCGTGAGACCTTGAATCCCATTAGTTCATATGCTCTCTCCAGAGACAAAGCATTCTGTTCCTCCACATCCAACTCGTGCGCCCTTTTCAACTTTTTACTTGCCTCTTCTGGAGGTGGCTCATTTCCATCATACGTTTCACTGTTTCCACTGGAAACTCCACGTGCTTGTAGTACGATGTTTCTCGATGTTTCTGTTTTCTGTCTATTTGCACTCTTCCTATCCTTCTTCTTCGTCTTTTTCGCTGGCTTTTTCCCCGATCCGTACGAAACAACACCCTGCTGTGCTGTACTGTCTGTACCATACCTGCTGGGGTCACGTGCAGAGCTTTCTAAATCGCCCTCAAAAGTATACCCTTGGCTGCACCAATAGTTGTATTGCTCATAGTAATACCAATATACTTCCCAGTAATTGTGTTCCCAAAGCATATTAACTTCTTCTGTCGTTACAGTGTCAGAGGTAGAACTTGGTGATGAACTCTTGCATGCAGTGTTCATTTTACCGTCAAGTTGGAAGTCACAGAGAATTTCCTCTTTGTGATATTCTACGAGTCTGTCGTTCACCAGTGCAGATTCACTGGCGTGTTCTGAGAGCTCAGAGATCTTGCCTGTTTGTTGCTCTACTGCGTAAGTATGACAATCGCTTAAAACAGAAGTTGCTTTTCGGGTCTCGTGGCTTTTTTCACTCACAACATCATTGTCTAACCTGATATCTTTACCAGCCAACACTTGTTCCTCCTCACCACTGCAGGACAACATTTCTATCAACACATTTTCGTCTCTGTGTGATGGAGGGTTTGTCTCCTCTGCGAGATCATTAACTAATTCTTCAGATTTCTTTAAACTATTGTCAAGAACTGAGCCAGTGTCAAGATCTGTGGGAACACCAGTAAACTGAGGGTAGAGGTTTTTCCAGCTTTCCCACACCAAGGAGAAGCCATACATCTTCCAGTAGTCCTCCCAACCTTTGGCGTGGTTACCGTTCTGACCAGTGACAGCATTGCTAGAGGTACGTTTCCTTTCACCAGTGTTATCAAGAGCAAGACATTTCAGTTCAGCATCGATTCCTTCAGCTGAGAGGTTTTCACTGCCTTCTGAGTCACTCGCTTTCTTGACGGTGGAAACATTCTGAGAATGCGTTTCTTCCTGATCTTGATTTGTAGTCATTTGGCTGGTAAAATTGGCTTTCGCGAATATAACTTGGTGCTGTTGCCGCTCTGAATAGCGTAGCTCAATAACATCGTCACTTCTAACATCACAAACGGGTGCAGTTCGTAGCTTTGCATTTGTCCCTCCTTGGCCTGGCAGGCTTATAAAAGAACTCCCAGCTGCCCCACTGTTCGGCTCAATATTTTTACTTCCATTCGATTCGAATGTGTTTACCTCAAAGGCAGACAGGTTTTGGGAAGTCGCAAGTCCATGTTTTTGAATTCCTGACACACTAATATCTTGCTGGCGTGTGTTGCCCATGGAGACGCACTCGTAGCAGTCCTTACTCTTTTGATCAACATTTGACATTTCCAAGTCCAGGGCAGATGCACTTCGTGAATGAATATTTTCATCACTAATTTCTTGTTTCGCTGTTTCACTTGAAGATCGTATAGTGACATTCTCCTTCCCCAGGAGACCCTTGTTCTCATCTAAACTAGCTCTGTCCGTGACTTTAAAAGAAACGTGTTCCCTTTGAGAGGGATTTTCAAAACGTGGGCTTGAACAAGAATCCAGCACTGTAGTATGTTGTTCTGAATTGCTAGTTCTGCAATCTCCATGATTTTCATTACTTACTAATGACGTACACAAATCTGTATATTCATTGGAGGTTTCTGACTTTGAAGAAAGGTTGTCTGGTTCAATTGCATCATGGTCAAGTGGCGTTCCCGTCTCATACACGATACTGTCTGTTATATCCTTGAAAATTGGTTTTGAACTTGCTAAGCCATTCCGTTTTCTTTTCTTTATCTTTCCCCGTTTTTTGGCATCCTTGCATGGGACAAGCTACAAACGCAAAGTTAAATGAGACTACATGCGAAAAATGAGTCTAATTGATCTGTAATTTGAAGAACTTCATGGAACACTTAACAAATTGACGTCGGTTTTTTATGCGCTGTCCTCTTATTGACGATAAATTGTATCATAACATTGTCAAAGTGGCTGTGGAACCACGAGCCGCAGGCGAGTGGTTCCGCAGTAAACTTTGACAATATTATGACGAAATTTATCATCAATAAGAGGACAGACACATAAAAAACTGATGTCAATTTGTTTTTTACAATTAACAAGACCCCAAAATGGTCAAATGCCGGGAGTAAATGAGGGGAAAAGACGCCGTAAACTTGCCTTAAACAAAGATAAGTGAATTTGATTCAAAAGACGCGAACATTGTCAATACCTTTTCTTGCCTCTTGATTGGCTACTTAAAAAAGTCCATAAAATCTCATTGGTTAAAAAGTTGACAGTTTGACAGCTGAAAGTTGAACTTGAAAGCTTGCGTAAATGAAAATTTTATCCGTCAGTACTCTTATTGATGATAAAACTGAGCCAATCAGCACACGAGAATTAGGCAGTAATTGCAAAAAATACAATGACAATTGATAGAAATTACAATTGAATTTTATTTGATCCTGTTTACGTAGCATAAACTCAAAGCTAAGTGACTTTAATTTGGGCCTATATTTAGGGGACAAGTGAGGTGTGGAAAAATGATAAATATCAGGACATGAAGACACTACACCACATGATTAGTTATCAAAATAACACTAAAATACTCTAGAGTTCTCAACCTTGATCTTACTGGTTCCAACACACACCAAGATAAGTTTTTAACGGAAAAAAGCATGGAAATGATACTATTACCAAGTAACCTTGTCAATGTTGTCATACATTTAAGTCTACTAAGAAATCAGAAACTATTTGCCACAGAACTTGAAGTTTTGAATCACAATTTTCTAACTCTATCAAACACAACATCATAGATATGTCCTTGTAAATTCTACCTGAAAATTAACTCTTGAGACTGCCAAGATGCAACTTACTGTGAAAAATCAATCATTACTTAACAAAGAATTACTGACTCAAGAATGACCCATGTTTTCCCAAAGAGTAAGCAACTGAAGTTCATGTGACAATTAATGTGCTCAAAGCAATAAAAAGCACAAACCTCTTTCTCCAGGTCAAGGTCACAAGGAGACCTGAAAAAGGAAGTTGGTAAACCCATTTTTTTCATCATTTCTAGCTCTTGTGAGATTTCCACATCTGGTTCATCCATTTCATGAAGGCATGTTGACTTGGAGACAACTACTGTTTGACAAGGATTGGTTAAATGACAGGCGGATTGATCTTTTTCTCCATCCTAAAAAATATTACAAAGTTTTTGTTAGAATTGTGACACTCATTGCATTTTGTTCTTGGGCAGGACCCTGGACTTTTGCCATGGTTCTCTCCACCACAGAGTACAAATAGGTGCTGAAAAACTGTAGGCCAGGGCTAGGGGTAACCTGACAGAATGCTGCGATGATGATGCTTGGTGATGTGATGATCGTGGAAGGTGCATTTTGAGGTTGATGTTTGATAGCATGCTGAAAGGTTTCTGAAAGATCAAGATCTGGACAAAGACACAACAAAAGTTGCTCAAAACGTTCAACGGTGTTGACAACTTTAAAGTGCCAAGCAAAGGGATGGAATTGCAAATTTTATTCACAGCCAGGATGTTTTGGTGGTTTTGCCTGGAACAGCATTTTGAAGGTGTATTTTCACCATTTGTAGCTTCTCCTTTCCAACAGACAAGATTCTTTTTTGTAATATTCTCAGTTTAAATTTGCGACTTCTTTGACAGTCGCTTTGAATTTTTTGATCCGTCAGTAGCACCTCTTATAAAGAACGCGTGACATACAGATTGTCGTCCTCGAGAGTGAAAAGTATCGGGATTCTTTCGAAGATTTTCAGTTCTTGAGCATTTTCAGAAACAAGCCTGTAATATCCACCATCACACACAGCGAAGTATTTTTGTCTGCCACGCGTGAGAAAAAACCTCTGGTACTCAGGGTAACCAATCCAGAATTTGCACTTTATTTTAAGACAAATATTACTTTTATTATAGCAAGAAAGATTGTGGTGCATTGGTGCAGCATCAACATAGAGCTTACCTCAGCAAACATGAGCTCATGTTCTCCTTTTAAAGTTTTTTCTTGTTGATGGTGGTCCTCATACTTCAATAGGTCTATGTCACTGCAGATAATAATAGATTGAAACAGACATAGCAGTATGATTAACATGCCCTGTAAATTACTGATAATTCTCATTCAGATATATTGTGCCTTTGTTCTAAGAAAGTTTTTAGACCTGTTCGAAATACAGCTTTCCTCGTGTGCAATTTTAATTAAGTATGACCAACAATGTTAAGTTCGGCAGAGTCTGTCACATCATTCGACACTGGAACGGCAGCTGATTTGTGCGTCATTCTTATGTGCCAAACCTATTACATACATTACTGTAAGTGTTATGTGTTTTTGATTTAATGATGCTCATAATTGGCTGAAAAAGATGAGTGGTATGGCCAATCATGCAAGAAACTTGAATATGTCAACAAAAACACCAGGGTGTTTGGGTGCTTACCCCTCTGCCTTTGACTCGCGAGAGGTAGAATTGTATCAGCAATTGTCTTAACAGTAATTCATTGGTGTTTCTGTTTTCTTCCTGATAATAGCCTACAACCTTGGTCTCAAATGTTGGAAAAATTCCTCCTTCCCCCCAGTTCAATGTTGGGGTAGAAATTCGTGTCCATCGATTGCGCTGGTATCTCCAACATTGAACGGGGGCACGGGGGAAATTTTCAAGACAATACGTCCACGGTTGTAGCTTGTAAGTTTTCTCATTTGCAATTTTAATTTACTGAGAAAAACCTTTCAATAATACAAACAACCTTGCAAATGAATTTGCTTTTTCCTAAATATTGCTCTTAGAATAAAAAAATATGTAACAGCCAGATACGAAAATTCCACAGAAAAAAATGAACACTTTTCTTTGTCCGATACGTGATAACATGTCACCTTTCTGCTTTCATCTTTCACAAACAACTGCATCATTGTGAAATATTTGTGGCCTCATTCTTCATATATTTTGTCTTTAACAAGAAAACAGTCGTTCTTAAATAGAACTCCACCCTTCATAGCCTTCTGACTTCTCACATTACGTAGGTAATGTCAGTATTTAAAGTGACAACACATAACAATATTTGCATGTGGGACAACTACTGTCTTCGTATATGTTAGGTGACTGCACAAATGTTTTAAAACATGTAAAATCCATTGTGTATTCACCCTTGGCTTGAACACTGAAAATACATGAAGACAAAGGAACAGTTTTGGTTACAGTCTGGACCATGTTCAAACTCGTGTGGTCACTCATTTATTTGTTGAATATAACATGGTTTTTTTTAAATGAAATACTGGCATCTTGCATGTAAAGTGAGAAGAATACAAAGGTTTGGAATTATATTTAAGAATGAGTATAGCCTGGCCTCTTTGATAAAAACAAAATATTGAAGGAACAGGCAAAGAATATCCCCAAAAATGTTGTGGAAAGCAATTGCGTGACACTGGGTAAGTTAAATTGAGGATGACATGTTATCAGGTATTGGATGAAAAAACAGTTTCTATTCTCAGGCCCAGTTCAGACGTCATGCTTCTGCCATGCCGAACTAAATTCAGGAATTAAGTTCGACAAAAGCACGGCAGAAGCACGGCATCTGANCTGGTCTGCAGTCTGTATTTTGTACTGAAAAAATAATTTGTATTGATCACTGCCAAAAGTAATCTGCATTTGGTGAGTAGCTAGTGAAGACCCAGGTGTAAATGACCCCAGTGGAAAACAATTAATCTGGTGCAATGCAACATCATTGCTTGCCAAAGATCTAGTTGCAAATAGAATGACAGTTATTGGAGAGTTATACAGTAGAACCTCAGCTAACAGACACCTAATAAAGACAGACACCTCCCCTAGGTGGACACTTAATCATGGACCCAGCAACTTACTACATTTAAACCCTGCCATATCAACTCTCCTAATTTAAAAGCGAGGACATTTTTCTGATCCCAGGGGTGTCTGGTAGTGGTTACTGAAAGTTTGAAAGCAAAAACTATATATATGGAGAGCAAGATCAAAGGATTATCACATAAGTGGATTGATAAGTACACCGACGCCGAAGACGCTTCGATTTCGTTGGATTGCCAAACTCAATCGAAATCAATCCATGGGTTCAACTGACCATGCCGGGCAGTCACAACTATTTAGGATGGAGCTTACTTACGTCTTATTCTGAAAATTTAAGCTTGTATCATACCTTAATAATGCACGGGTACAAACGCACGTGACAACTTCTTGTGTTTTCAATTCTTGAGAAAACAAAGTCATTCTCGCAATGCAATTTCCACGCGCCCTCATCGCCCTCACGTTGATCAGAATGGCTAACCACGATCCTTATGGTCAGCAACCACGTCCGCTTTTAGTAGGTACGTAGTGTAAAAATCACATACCTTAAAATTGTAGTCTAGGAGAATAAATTTCCGAAGCTCGTTGGGAAGACCGGTTAAAAAGCTGCAAAATTTTTTTTCAAATGTTAAAAACTATCATCCTTGTCTCCTTCGCTATGGTCGTCAAACAACATACGCCTTTTGTACTAAGGACCAATCAGGAAGCGGAACTATATATTTCCATTTGTAATTTATCTGTTTATGCTTTTATGGTAATCATCATTGCGTGACCACGGCGGGAGCCTGTTCGCAGGCAAGTCCTTGACCAACTGCACAATTTAGAAGATGGCAGACTTCAGAGACCTTGTTACACTGGATGACCTAGAAAAATATGCTGCTACACATTTGGACAAGAACGCCTCTGATTATTATTCAACGGGATCTGGCGACGATGTTTCACTGCACGAAAACCGACAGGCTTTTAAGAGGTATTTTGTCATGTCTTCAATAGCAAAATATATTTTTAGTTCAGGTATGATGTCTAATTATAATATTTAGCCCGCATTAATCCAATTTTTTTATCCGTCGAATATAGTTACATGGTGAAGAACGAGGCAAACAGTCGAGGCTTACGGTTCCTAGGATCTCGCTTGATTTAACATTATAATAGCAGCAATCAAAGATTGTGAGTGAGCGTTCGACGCTGATTTCGTGAGCTGCCTTTCAACTTTTGCCTATTGCCAAAATCATTGTTCTTAGTTTGACAAATGAATTTTTACATACAGATATGACAAAGTCCACTATTTTCCTGTGGATTTGATTTCCTTGTTTCATGGTTCCCTTCTTTCAGAAGAGCTCCCTTCTTTCAACTACGACTTGATACGTTACGTGACTCACACAACAAATAGATTCGAGGTTGCCGTGCCTCTGTTTAGTATAAACAGATCACAGATGAAGTCAAAAAATGGTAGTCATCCTTCTGGCGAATAAAGAAATTACCGGAGCTATTTTGCGGGCCACTTATTAACATATCCCTCAAAGCTTCTAAGAAGGAAGCATATAGAAACAAAGGAACCATTCATATTCAGTTCAATGAGATGTAAATGGTGGCCCGGTATTCTGCAATCTAGCCAAATTACCATGTTTCGGCTTTTCCAGTTGAGCCTGTTCCAAACGATTCAAAGTTTTCGCTGATGCGCTAGCGGAGCGAGCTCTCTCACGCTTCAGAGCAGTCATTCTTTGTAGAAACATAGCGACGTTATTTTCGGCGGAGACAGGGTATTTTCATTGCTATCATACACGAACAGCCATTCTCTTAAACAGGCACATTTCGTGCTGGCATATAAAACGTAATTTACGAGACCCGCATATGCGCGCATTTTAGCACGCGTATATATGGGTCCTTGTAGGA